GAGAAAAGAGCAACCTTCGTGGTTCTCCCTGAAGCCAGTGTGGAGGCCACAACCCCACCCAGGGTCCACAGAAAACTGGAAGGCACAGGCCTGAGAGACTTCTTGGCAAGTGTCCTCAGCTGCAAACTGCCAAGGAAGACAAGTGACTAGATCTCACTTGACCCTGGCACTTCACCCATGTCTGCCACCAGAAGTCAGACAAACAGCAAACACAGAGCCTGGAGTAAATGCCACAGAGAGGCAGAGACCCTCTGGCCCATGGCTGACTCTGCTGGGGACAGGAGGCCTGGCTGGGCCCTCCCACTGGCCGCAGTCCTCTAGGGAGGAAGTGTACCCTCCATTCCCCTCCTCCAGTCAGAACCAAGTGTCCTCAGGACCATTTGCTTCCACAGCAGGAAGAGTCAAGAAGATAAGAAGTCAGAGCAAGGGGCAGATCGATTCCCTCCCATGGCATTGCAGAGACACTGAAGCGGATGGGAACCTAATGACCATCAAGTTGAGCAGGAGTAAGAGCCAGACCCTGCCCTAGTGAGAGGGCCTGAATCACAGCTGGGACAAAAGGGCCCCTGGCTTTCCCACTTGACAGATCCAAATGTGGTGGGGCCCTCCCCAACCCTCGGGGGTATCCCAAATTAACTAGTGACTGCCCAAAAGTGCAGATGTGAGCCCAATTCAGTCCCCACTGAATGGGAGTTCTAAGAACGATTCTGTCACTGTAAAAATGGCCGTATCTTCTTTCCAGGCCCAAGATGACCCAAGAGAAGGTCTCTTTAAGACCCCTCAGGTCCCAGGTGAGGCTAGCAAGGGAGGTCATCCTGGTTCTTTGACCTGTACAACCCCCCCCCCACACACACACCAATGCTGGGCACAGTCCACATCCAGCCTTGTACAAAGGCTAGACCACTCTGGATGCACTCTTTGGGGACCTTTACTCTTCTATTACTCGTGGCAGAGTAAGCTACTCAGGAAGGGATCAGGTCAGCCCTAACCATTTACCTATGACTCACTCTGACCTCAGGGGTCAGCTTTGGGCACAGAAGATGTCCCAAGGGAGATAAGGATAACTCTACAGCCACCAACCATGGTTCTCTTGGGCTTCGGCTCCTTCATTGCAGGCCTCAGAGCATCCTTTCTGGCTATGGACAGGGAATCTAGGGGAAGGTGGGGGTCATCAAGAGTTCAGTTTGGGGCCAGGGCAGGGTCAGCCAACAGCTAGGAACAAGATAAGGGGCCCCAGGAGGGCGCCACTGCCAATACCAGCTGCCATCCCTCCCTGACCGGTCAACAAATGTTTATTAAGCAGAAACTCTGGAGCCAGACTGCCTGGGGTCAGGGGTCAGGGCCCAGCTGAGCCCTTGGCTGTTCCAGTGACCTCCCTTGTGCCTCAGTTTCCTTGGCTGTCAAGTGGAATAGGTAGAGCCTGACCTCCCAGAATTGTTTGTTGAATGAGCGAGTCTGGCAGGGAGTAAGCTAAGTGCCTGCAACCTCTTCCTTCTCCGTATTTTATTATTCTTCTTATTTTTTACGACCATCGTTATTGGTCTGGCAGTAGGCCAAGCAAAAAGGAGACACTCAGTCTCCGCCTGCATGGATCACAAAGTCCTGTGGAGTTCAGGGACAGGGGGATCCAGGCAGACATGCACAGAGGAATGCTGGATAAGGGACCACTGAGAAGGTATGCTGTCTATCACCTGTAGGAAGATGGAGAGCACAGGCCCTGTATACATGTCCTGCACCTTTCTCTCTGTTGACTGATGAAACAAATCCCTCTTGCCAGTGAATAAACACTTCTCAACATGAAGTCAGCAGGCCTGGTCCAAAGCACCAAGTTTAAGTCCCTGCTCCACCACTAAATTCTGTGACTTTCTGCAAAAATGTTCATCTTTGTAACAATACTGATTAAAAAGCTTAGCAAGCAGCCGGGTGGTGGTGGCGCACGCCTTTAATCCCAGCACTCAGGAGGCAGAGGCAGGCGGATCTCTGTGAGTTCGAGGCCGGGCTGGACTGATAGCCTCCAAAACAATACAGAGAAACCCTGTCTCGTAAAAACCAGAAAAAAAAAAAAAAGCTTAGCAAGCATGGTAGTTACCCTTGAATTTAAATTAACTCTATACCCTAACACTTGGGGGTAGAGGAAGGCACACAGGGAGCTTGAGGCCAGCCTGGGCTACACAGCAAGTTCCAGGCCAACCCAGGATACATGGGACTCTCACAAAACAAAACAAAACAAAACAAAACAAAACAAAACAAAACAAAACATACCCATCCCCCACCTTCTCCTTCATAGGCTCCTTACACCAAAGATGGACAATTAGCACAGCAAGAGATCTTAGGCCAGGCCAGTCAGCCTGGGCTCCAGACCACTGCTCAAGCCTGCCACAGTGGTCAGAGAACCATCAGGGAGGACATGAGAGCCCTGCATGCCAACAGAACCTTAATAGCATGTGACTGAATCTCAGGGAGATAACACTGTGGATCCAAGTCACAGAGGGGAAAACCAAGGATTTCTGGGAACTTCCCTTACCTGCCAAGGTCGAGGCTGGGAAGTTGCAGGGTTGGACCTCAGAGCCACTGTCCAGTTTGGCAATGGAAGCCAATATCTAGGGTCAACCTAACTATGATCACCCTCCCCCTCCCCCACAGTAGCTGCTTGGTAGGTTTTGGGCCCTGGTGGTTGGTTATAGGCTATTTGCTGGGAGCCAATCTTGAGTACAGAATACAGGGCCCAAAGAACTCAGAGTCCAGGTTCCTCTTATGGGTCAAGGCCCTGTCTCTCAACTAGAACTACTGACCACAGCCAGCCAGACACCCACTGCTCTCAAGGCTGGAAACCCCCTCTTGGAGTAGCAGGCTGCAGATCCCAGCCCTGACACTTCCAGAATGGGCAATAGCTGGGCCTCCTGGGCAGACTGGTGAGGGGGGGTGAGACAGCAGTACCCAACCCACCAAACCACCTGCAGCTGGAATGATGTGCAGCCTGTGAACCCCAATACTGCACTGAGCGCAGAGGGTGGAAAATCCTAGCAGGGACCTACTTCATCAGTACAAGAAAACCGTTCTTCCCACGGCTAATTTATCTGAGTGCTCTTCCTTGGGGAGGGGAGACAAGCCCTCCCCTCTCTGAAGGATCAGGACCAGCAGGATTCACCTTGCTGACCTGACAGCCTAGGGCCTAATCCCAGCTAAGGCTGACTCCTTTAATTGCTTTGAACTTCCCCGTTTGACACTTCCTCCTTCTCTCTGAGGCTCCCTGTGTAAATACAGAGCCCGCCACCTGACAAGCAAATACACCAGGCAGCCCTTGGGTGGCAGGTGGAGTGGGGTGTAGATTTCAAACACCTGCATGTTTGAGCTGCCCAGTACTTCGGACGATTCCTCTGTCACCACCTAACTCCAAGGCCCTAGAGAGGCGTTGGGAGACACAAAGCGGAAAGTAGGGTCCTTGTTCTCCTCGCCACAGATAGTAGGACGGCAGAATCGGTCTGTGGCAGGACTGTGAAGGGGCTATGACATACACCTTCCCATGGGGACATGGCTGGGCTCCACAGGACTCCTGCCCTCCGGTTGAGACAACCCTGTTGGAAGCTGGGGAATCCCGGCTCTAATTTTGGTTGGACCTCTGAAAGGAAGTACGGAACTGAGGGGAGCAGGGAGCCCAGCTAGAGGCTGGCAGTTGCTATTTCAGTCCCTGGAAGAGAGGGAGAGAGATGTGAGTGGCTGAGAGGTAATCTTCCAATAAAAACCGCCTAGGTCCAGGTGCTGTGGCACGCAAGCACAGGTGAAGCTGAGGCAGGGGGGTCTCTGTGAGTTCCAGGCTAGCCAGAGCTACATAGTGAGACCCTGTCTCAAAACAAACAAGCAACTGAAAGGGCTGGAATCCCCAGGAAACAGACCAGATTTGTCACAGGGTAGAGCTGGACACTGTAGTAGTCACAAAGAAATTCACAGAGCCATGTACCATCCTGCAGGCGAAATTAATATCACTACCCCTGCTTCCTCGTGACCCTTAATTTCTGCTATATTAACACAGTAACAACGTGTGCCCTAGGTCAGGGCAACCAAGGCCAGCTTTCTGGAGCTGAGTCCTGCCCAAGCTGGTTCCTGGCCCACACCTCCTCCTCTGTGAGGACTCCAGGTGGTGGGGGCCTGGCAAGAGTCACAGGACCCACAGAACACACAAGGAAAAAAAAAGAAAAAGAAAAAGAAAAAAAGAACCAACGTTAACACCCAACACCCAGCCACGTGGACCTTTCCCTAGAAAAACTATTCCGAAATAATATTCAGGGAACAGCAGATCATGTCAAGCACGAGAACGCCTTCACCCCCCCCTCCTACAGCACCCCAACATCTCTGCATCCCACAGACGCTCTAACTTCAACAGAAACTGCGTGCCAGGGCTCAGGGAGAGAAGAAACTAAAAACCCAGCTCATCCTTAGAACAAGCGGCCACACTCAGCCCAGCACTCCCGACCTGCGGTCACGTGGAGTCGGACCCGGGGGTACCCGAGGGGGAAAGACACCCGGAGGACCGGGTTCCCACGCCCGCCTGCTCGCCCCGGGCTCTCCAGCTTCCCTTGAGCCCGCGTGCAAGTATCTTAAGGGCGGAGGGGCTCCCTAGCTCTCCCGCGGTGGCCCCTGAAACTGAAAGTTGCAGGGCAGCGGCTGTCAGCGCGCACCGAGGCGCAGGAAACAGGAAGCCCAGCGCGCTGCGGCCGCGGCCCCTCCCGGCCTCGCACAACAAAACCTTCCAGGGAATCGGGAGGGGGCGGCGGGGCCGGGGCCCCCCGGTCGCCGCCCGCGGGAAAGTAACTTCACACCAGCGCGATCGCGCCCTGGGCGCAGCGCCGCCGGCTCCGCGCAGACAAAAGGAGAGAGACGCGCACCGGGCCGGGCGCCCCACGCGGCAGCGCGCACCGAGCGGGCAGCCCAACCGCGCGCCCCTGTGCGCCCCTACGCGCCCTGGCCGGGAAACCCGGGGACCCGGCGCACCACTTGCTTACCTGGTAAGTAATAGAGAGGCGGCTTCAGTCCGAACATGGCTCAGGTTAGAATTCCATAGTGGCCAGAGAGGGACGAAGAAGGAAATGAGGGAAAAAAAAATTCAAGTCCAGCAATGAAACAAAACCAGCGTCCAAGCCACGGCGCTCAAAAATGTCCAAAACAATAAACTGAAGGCAAAAGAGCGATCCCCAGAACGCTGGGGGTTGAAACCAGTTTGTGTGTTTTTTCCTTTCCTCTCCAAGATCAAAGGCTGCCTCTCAGTCCAGCGCCCGGGCAGGTTCGGCCACCTCGGCCCGAGCAGATCCACAGTGAGGTAATTGACCAAGGAAGGGCCGGAGCCTCCACCGCGGCCCGGCGTCTTCGCCGCGTGTGTATTTTCTGCCTTTTGGACTTGAGATGCAAATTAAAAAAAAAAAGGAGGGGGAGCTGGTGGAGGGAAGAGGGCGGGAGAGCAGGAGAGAGAAAAATAAAGGGGGGCGGTGAGGGTGATGAAATTGGGGGGTTAAGGTCTTCAGGGATTACTCATTGGAAAGAAAAAGAGACAGGAGAGAGAGAGAGAGGAAAAGGGAGAGAAAAAAAGCACCCCCTAAGACGTGCGAACAGCAATCTCGCCTCCATTCAGCCATTTGAATGTCAAGGGCGAGGGTCAAGAGACCTGTTTCCAACAGGGTTTCACGTTCAGAACCAGAAGGGAAAAGGAAGGGGGGCGGCGGGAGGGGGCATCTGGTTGCCAAGGAGAAATCGGCTTTGTTTTCGTTTCCCCTTAGCTACTGGGTGAGGAGGGGCGGGGTGCGGAGTGGAGGAGGGGGCGCTCGGCAGGGGTGCTGGGGGTGGAGAAAATTAATACCCAAACAGCCTAGAAGTACCGAGGGGCAGATTTCGCCTAGTCAATAGGAGAGGCGGCGGCGACAAACAAGTCTTGGGCTAGGGACGCTGGCGGGGCAGACTCCCTTCCCCCTTCGCACCAGCACCCCCCCCTTTTTGGTTATCTCCCCGCCCGGCGTCCCACCACTGACTCAGACGGAGGGGGTGGGGAGGAGGGAGAAGAGGAGGAGGAACTCGCGGGGGCGCAGCCGGCAGGAGCAGGAGAGCGGGAGGCGAGAGCGCGCGGCGGTGGAGAGCCCCTCGATCAATTTTCATGCAAGAATCATTATCGGTAAATTGGAAAGCTGGCTGCCTGACAGCAGATTTGTCTCCCCTAATGAAAGCGAAAGGGAAGGGGCGCAGCGGCGGGCGGCTCCTTCCGTCTGCGCCGCGTCCTCCTGGAGCTCTCGGCTGCGCGCTGCGGTGACGAGAGTCCCACTTGCGACCTGCCCGTGCGCGGCCGCGGAGCCTGACCAGACCGGCCGCCGAGGGCCCGTAGCGGATGCTCCCGCTTCAGACTGCTCAATGCTCCCCTCTGCCCGGCAGCGGGCCGTTTGCAAACAGTGGGAGGTTGCGGGCGCCGCGGGGCCCCCCTCTGGCTGCCCAACTCCGCGCTCTGGCCGCCGGCCCGCCCTTGCTCCTCCCCACCCACGTCTGACAGCTGCGGGAGCCCGGAGCACGACCTCCCTCCCGCGACCGTGCCCTGGGGAGGTCGGGGCCGCCCTTTGTGCAGCCCGCAGCGGGCTGCAGAGACCGCGCCCGGGAGAGCGAGGGACGGCGGTTGGCCTCTCTCTTTCCTCCCTCCCCACGCCCTACCCCTTAAAAAATCCCTGTTGCAAGTGTAATCAAATGCTTGATACCATCTCCCACACTCTTCTGCACCCGGGCATTATCAGATCCGGGAAGGCATGCTTCCAGGCAAACAGACCTAATAAATGCTATTACTGGGACTCTGCAAGCCCCGGCTGCACCATAGTAACGAGAGCCCGGCTAATTTGGTTTAAGCAAACGACCGACTGCACTGAGCGTGAGTGTGGCGCCTGTATCTCCCCTCCCCAGCCGCCGCGCGTTCACACCAGCTCAAGAAGGCCCCAAGTGATAATTCCCCAAATCGAAGGGGAAAAAACCCTGCCGCCAAACCACATCCTGTGCGCTCATTGTCCAGCCCAGCGATTTTAAAGAGACAGCATCCATTTACCCATACACCAGCCCCTTCTTCTAAATGCACGCGGCCAAGCAAGTGTGAAGATGAGACCATTTATTTTTCAAGTCCTTTTACGGAAGCACTCTCCCACCCCCGTGGCGCAACTAGCTGGGATCCTGACTTGGTGACACTAAGGGTCACCTTTTGACCCTACATCCTCAAATTCTAGCCGACAGGTACGCACAGCAGGCGCCACAGTCACGCCAGGCTGGGGTTTCTGTCACGGCTCTCTAGTCTCGGCACCCATCATGCGTCCTGGACCAGTGACCCCAATATCCTAGTAAATGCGGTGGCTTCAGATGACAGGCAAACTCCCAGAATACAGGACACAAAGGGGGAGCTCAGGAGGGCACTTTGAGGGAGGTGGGGACCCAGCATGCCTTCTGACCCTGGCTGCGCCTCCTGCAGCGGCCCGGAGGAGGGCATCTGGGCCCCAAGTTGCAGGAGGGCGTTGCAGCGAGCCTCTGGCTGCTTTGCAGGCGTGACCCCAGAGGTCGCGTCTGGGCCCTCCGGGGCTGCCCTTTGTTTTCTTCGGGGCTGCCTGCAAGGCTAAGACACAGAGACAGGGCTGGAGTGTCTAGGGTCACCGCCTCCATCAACCTGTCCTCACAATTCAGGGGGCACTGGATGGGAGAAGAGAGACCAGATGCCCCCTTACTCACACACACCCGTGCCCCGACCTCTCACAAGCTCTAGTTGTACTTAGGGGAAAAAATAAAATCTATTTTTGAAAGACCCTAAAATATCTGTTTGTGTTGTCACTCTTTTATTGGTTTTTAATTCTCCGGGATTATGGGAACAACAGTAGTAATTAATACGAAACCTTCCTCCACTGTATATGCTAATGGCAGGAGCCATAAAAATTAATTTGCAAACATGTCATTACACAATAGCTATACAGGCAATAAACCTGTAATTATGGGCCAATCACAGGCTGGGTACAGAGGGAGGATGCTCCCCCCCAATAGGCTGGGCACACACCCACCTTCCTTTCCCTGCTAAAGTAGGGGAGGTCACCCTGAAAGGAGCCATCCTTCCTGGAGCCACCTGTGGAGAAAGCTGTCCAGACTGGAGTCCAAACTCCCTGGCTTCTGTGTCAGCTACTCAGTGGCCAGTGGGGGGGGGAACCCATATGGGGCAGGAGAGGCCTGGACCTGGCTTGTGAAGAGGCCAACAGTGGGGGGAACAGGCACAGAGGAGTCCCACTATGGTGGGCCAGTGGCACTTATCATCATGGAGCCTCCTCAAAGACAAACCTCTCTCCTAATAAGAATTCCAATGCCTGCATCCAATTATCAAGATTGTACAGGCCAAGCCGTAATTGCTTAGAGCCACACCCTGGGGAACGAGGCTAGCTGTACGATGTTACTGATAGCCTAGCTCCTTTGCCCCTGAGTCTAGAAGCTCAAAGTAGGTTAGTGACATTTCCTGGTGATAGGGACTTCTGAAGGGCGAAACACTATGCACTCTACTGGAGGAGAGTGGTCATCCTACAGCCCCCCCAAAAAAACCTGGTGCCAGAATAGCCAGGAACACAAAGCACCCCCCCAAACACACACACACACACATATTCCCTAGCAGCCAGCTCTGTGCTGGCTGACTCTGAATGGCTGAGTTGTTTGCCTAATGTGGCTGAACAGGATAGCTGGCTGCACTTTCTCTTTCCCACTGGCCCCTGTGGCTTTGCTGTGGTGGGTGGACCCCATCACTACAGCCATTCATATGGGGGGGGAGCCAGCCCTCCACCAGGCATGTCTGTGGCTTCCTTCAGATGGGACATGCGCCCAGCACTCCCGCCACAAACCATGTGGGCACACCAATACCAGCTCTGGGTGTCTGAATGAGGCTATTGCCTTCCCAGGTTTTACCCCAGAGGGTTTCTGCTCAAGGAAAGATGGCCCTTGACTCTCTCCACCTCTCCTCTCCCAGAGGCTGCTGGGCCAGTGTTTTCTCTTTTTTAACATGGGGTGGGGTGGTGAAGAAGAGGCAGCAATGGGGAGGCTGGACCACCCAGAAATCATCCTCCCTCTGGGCCTTTTGGAAGGGTGGGACACCACAGGGCATTCTTCCTCTTACCTCCAGAGAGACACAACCATGAAAGCCACCCAAGGTCAGGGAGAGAGGTGCTGACACCCCCTCCATTTGTCAATAGGAAGGAAGGTAGGGGTCCAGGTCACCCTGAGGAGATGCATGAAACCTGGAGGTCCCCACTCTGAAGATGCAGCCCCTATGCTAGCTGCCCCTTCAACATGGAAGGACCCCACACTCCCTCTAGCAAGGCCACTCTTGCCTGGGCTCAGATACAACCCAACTAGTGCCAGCCAGCTGAACACAGTAAAAATAGACTCCCCCCACATGCTAAGGCAGGCGGCTCCCTACCAGCTGTGCCCATCACCCATCCTGTGCCATGTTCCCCAGGCCAGCTTGGCTCCCTGAGGAGGAGGTGCACACAAGAGGCCTCATGCCGTAGAATCCAGGAAAGAACAGAGCCTGAGTGCCCAGACTGCATGGTTCCTGGGACATGCTGGATCCTTCAGATGCCTACCTGTCCCCCTTGGCAGGGCAGTGGGGCAGCAGGTACTTCCTAGGTGCTCTGAACTCTCTTTACAGACTACCCAGGGAATCCTTTGGATCATTTGCTTCAGGTTGCTCCTCACAACTCTATTTTCTAAATGAGGCACAGAGAGCAAGCATCTTCCCCAACGACTCAGAGCTAGTAGATGACTAGAACTAGGGTTGAGCCCCGGAGGCCTGTTCCTAAGCCTCCTGTGCCCTGAGTCCTCATCTGGAAATTGGGGTGGATCACTCATGCATGCCAGGAGAAGACTGGGTGTGGGTGCTTCCAGCACCTGGACTGTTCAGGGACTCCACAAACAGTTGCAATGACTCCCAAGACTGTGTAACAATGGAGACACCAGCAGCAGTGACAGATAGGTCTCGGTGTGTTTATCTCCATCCTTTCTGCTTTCCAGTGGCTTTGCCAGCATTTGGGGGACTTGTCCTCCCCCACCAGACAGACATGTTGTCTTGTAACTTTGTACATTTGATGCTAAGGCCCAGGGGTGTGAGGTCAACTGCCCAAGGGCACAAAGGGACCAGTCACACCCGCTTCTCCCTCAGGCTCTGGTCCTTAGGTGACAGCAAGTTCCTGAGATAAGTAAATCCAAGATTGTAAGAGAAAGGCCTGTGCATACAGCTGGCTGTGACATCTGTGTGCTTAGATTTGTTTCTTTCTTTGTGCAAGGTGTCTATTTTCACCCTTTCTCCCCTGGCCAGGTGTGATGCCCATTTTGGGGTTTCACAAAAGTTCTGGGGTCCAAGTCCTGTCCTTCCCTGTGCAGTGGGTTGAATTGTGGCCTGCGGCCCGCGGCCCAGGCAGCAACCAGATTCTGAGGAAGAGTCTAAGCAGGTCCTTCCTAAACTGAGCGCCCATGAAGAGGCCCAGGTGAGGCGGAACACCTGTAACCCTATGGTTTGGGGAGGTAAAGCATCAAGAAGGGAACAGCAGGCAGGTTACAGAGAGCAGGGCTTGGAAAGACTAGAGGCACAGGCAGGAAGAACACTGCAAATTGAGACTAGCCTGCTCTGAACCACAGGAAGATTTGGATTTTCCAGGACTACACACACACACACACACACACACACACACACACACACACACACACACACACACACACACACAAAGAGGATAAACAGTGAAAGACAAGAGAAGCCATGTGAAAACAGACAGAACAGTCATGGTGGAGCCATTGAAAGCAGCAGCCCCAGGCACTGGAGAGGCTGAAGCGCCTCCTGTGGCCTCCAGAGGGAGCAGAGCCTGTGACTGTGACCTGACTTCTAGTCACTGACTGTCAAAGTCTCTGGCTTCACAGAGGTTACTCCGTTTGTGGTGACTCATTACCAGGCTCCAGGGGCCTCTCTGGTCACCTCTGTAACAGTGGCCTGTTCCTGGCCAGCTAACCCTAAGAGCTCAGGACAGCGGGCTTGTATCAGGCCCTGGGCGGTGAGTGTCAGGAGTCCTACATAGCCTGGCACCCAGAAACCAACAACCCCTTGGGACCTAGTGTTATGGCCACCCTCTTGGTTTTAAATGGTGACACATGTGTCTGCTGGGTTTTGGGAACAGACATGGCCCCAAGCCATCAGCTTGGCCATCTGCCTCAGAGACAGACTGACTTCCTGAGGCTCCACCTGTGAATATAAACCCTGATCCCTGAAGGTTCCATGAGGCCCTGGGGAGTGGTGATAGTGAGAACCACAGAACCCACCATGGCCAGCCTTCCACACAATCCACATTCTTTCCTTCCAACCTCCGCTGAATTGTGGGACCTGGTTCTAGGCAAGAGAAGGAGACGGACACTCTGACTTGCCATGTCGGGGCCTGGCTAGGAGAGATGACCCACTCAAGCCTGTGCTTGCTCTTTCTGGGGGTTCGTGGCCTTGAACCCAGTACTGAAGATAGCAACACCCTGATCAGCTCTTCCACAATGTCTACAGCAAAGGCCCCCGCCCCGCCCCTTCCCAGCTGTCCATCACGCAACACATGCTTACTGTCGGTAACAAGCATCCCCCAGTGAGGCCTTCATGATGAGCCGGACAGTGTCTCCGGCACAGCCCAGCAGTCCCCTTAGCAGGCACCAGCTACTCTCCTGGCTCTGGGTTACATAAGAAGACAGACTCAGCCGGGCGTTGGTGGCTCATGCCTTTAATCCCAGCACTTGGGAGGCAGAGGCAGGCGGATCTCTGTGAGTTCGAGGCCAGCCTGGTCTATAGAGTGAGTTCCAAGACAACCTCCAAAACAATACAGAGAAATGCTGTCTCAAAAAAAAAAAAAAAAAAAAAAGAAGACAGACTCATCATCCCCAGAAGAGTAAACCTGTCTTTCTTCATTCTCTCCATTCCTCCCTTGAGCTGCTGAGGCCAGAGAAGTCAAATGGCCCTAAGTCACACAGCCCAGAAAAGGAAATCCACAGGTTAGACCTCAGATAGAGTGACAGACTCGGGTAAGGCCTCTTCCTCTCCCAGAGGCTCAGTTGGGGTTTAAGGTATTTATTTCTGTGTATATGGCATGAGTGTAGGGGTCAGAGGACATCTGGCCAGGGTTGGTTCTCTCCTTCTACAATGTGGGTCTTGGGGATTGAACTCAGGACATCAGAACTGGCAGCAAGCACCTTTGCCCACTGAGCCAACTTGCCAGTCCTATTTGATTTTTATTGCCTGGACCATTTAGTTTTTGCAGTGCTAGGTTAGGCCCCTGAACTCTGCTTGTTAGTTGGCTCTGTTCAGGCTTTGACTTTCTCTTTGACCTTTGAACCAGCAACAAGAGATTCTCCCAAAACTTTTTTTTTGAGACAGGGTTTCCTGTGTAACCACTGTGGTTGTCCTGGAACTTACTTTGTAGACCAGACTGGCCTCCAACTCACAGAGATCTGCCTGCCTCTACCTCCCAAGTGCTGGGATTGAAGGCATGTGCCACCAATGCCCAGTCCCCCAAAACTTCTAGAGCCAGAATTCTGCCTTGTAATTTGGGCTATCCTCCTGTCAAGGCCTCCAGGGCAGCCACCACCTCTAGATAAAAATCTTGTTGTTGTTGTCATCTTTTTATTTATTTTATTTATTATTATTATTTTTTTTTGGAATTTACGAGACAGGGTTTCTCTGTATTGTTTTGGAGGCTGTCGGTCCAGCCTGGCCTCGAACTCACAGAGATCCGCCTGCCTCTGGCTCCCGAGTGCTGGGATT